CTAAAATATTTTCGCCTGTGTGAAGGGTGTTTTGCAGTGGTTTTTTTTTTGTTTTCTCGCCCTCTACCGTCCCATCTGAACGAACACGCACAGACAAATTGTACTGTCATATACCATTCCTTGAAACAAATACTGGGGCGCTTAGATATTACATTGACCCCTACTCTGGAACCTAGGCGAGAAAGAGCACATCATAATCGTCACGGTGAGGTCGACAGACTCCTGAGCTGCTTTGGGGATTAGTGTGGACGGTTACAAAGCATGGCTTGCTTCTGCAGTGTTTTAAAAATTGAGGTTGGAGAGTTGAAGGTGGAGGTCTTTGCTTCTCCCAGGAGGAGATTAGGAGGCTGAAGGGAACCACATCAAATGGGTCTGGAGAGAGTGTGAGTTGGCTGGAGTTGTGGGAATGAGGCATCAGTGAGGTGCATTCTGTCTCTCGCTGTGAGGAGGCTGTAGTTGGGGAGGTAGCAACTGCTACCATCAGTGAGGTGCAGTCCCAGCACCTGCCTACAAGTGGCGAGTGGTTTCAACAGTAATGGAAGGCGCATCAGAAGTAAGGAAAGTTAAGAATGAAGATCTGAAGTAGGAAATCGCTTTCTTCTGTTCTTCAGATGAATGTACTTCATGGCCAGTGAAGTAAGGGTAAACTGCCCCTGTCAATGAGGTACGCGTATCCTTGAGGTTGGTGACTCTGGGGGTCAGGTAAGTTCTTGACGTCTTTTGTAATAAGGAATAATAAAAGAGAGATAGAGTGTGCTTTCCCAGGAGCTGGGTTGGGGACATTGTCAACTAGGCTGATAATATCATGTGCAGGTAAGGGAAACAAGCCCATTATCTGTCTCAGTGGCTGGTGGAAATTGATATTGGAAGGGTATGAGAGAAGAGCTGCTAGATAAGTACAGGTCAGCTATAATTTCATAAGTCTAAGGGAGGGATCCCAATCCTGTAGTCATCTTGCCTAGAAGGGAGTAGAAATGAATGGTTGTCTAGGGCAATTGGTGTAAATTGCTGGCTAGACAGATACTGCAAGGAACTTGCAGATCTCCATTCATTTAACAACTGGAACAACTTTATGGCAAACATGATACTATGACAAGGTATGGGGTACATCTCTCTGGGCTGGGGGGTAGCACTTGCAGAACTCGATGAAAGGCCATTGGTGAAATGCCAATGATTTTCATTTACACTGATGGAAAGATAGAGGTAATGGGTGTGTGTGGGAAACAAGCAGGTTTGCAACACGGGTTGGAAACAGGAAATGTATAAAAGGCATTCAGCATGAAGATATAAATAAAGACAATATAAGATCAGTCCAGGTCAAACAAGGGGGACAGCAACGCTGCAAGGGACTAGCTCCCTTAGGTTTTACTATACTAATAGCAGATGTAAGAAATAAGATAGATGACTAAGATTAATTGCAATGCAGGAAACAAAGATATTATTGCTAAAACAGAGACCACTGGCTCAATCTGAAAAGATAGAGAGAAAAATTGCCCTCTGAATGTCACATACAAGCTATAAATTATTCCACACTGACAGGGTCAACAGAAAGGTGGTGGAGTAGCGATTATGATCAGAGACAATTTAAATTGTTGTGTTAGAACAAGATATTAAATTAGAAGCGTCACCACTGAATCTGTTTGGTTACAGCTTCTCGAGGGCCGAGAAAAACTAATTGTTTGGTGTGATTTTACAGGCGCCCCAAATCTTTGAATAGGGAGTGACAGTAAACTTCGTATGGGAACGAAATTCCGAAGGCATCTACAAACTAAAATGTTGTGCTAATGGTGAGATTTCAAACTATAACATATTTGACTGGAGCAATTTGAACAGGAAATTTAGAGTCAGTTGACTTTCCTTGATACGATCCAGATTGTTTTTTAAAACGTTTGTGACGAGCACCTAGGGAAATAACCTCCTTGACTTGGTACCTTGCCAGTAGGAAACACTATTAATAATCTTGAGGTTATGATGCATGGGAAAGAGATCACAAATCACTCAGTTTTTAATATATCATGGAATTCCCCTAATAATGGCAATCAAGTCTCCGTCCCTGACTGGCGCGCTTGGCACATAGGACTGAAAAATTACTTAGGTGGGCCTGAACTGGAATGACCTACTAAGGTCAGTAGGTGGTGATGGATGCCGATATGATGCTTTCCAGGGCATAGTTCTAGCTGCTGCAGTCCCAAATATGTTCCAATAGGGAAATCAGATCAAACAAAATGAATCCTAAATGGATGAAACAATGGGAGATTAAAATACTGATTGGTCAAAAGAGAGGCATATATAGGCAAATCAAAAGAGAGAGGGGCAATTGAGAAAATCGATAAATCAGTTAAAGAGAGAAATAAAAAAGGGAATTAGAAAAGCAAAAAGAGATTATGAGGTTAAAGTAGCAGAGAATCGAAGGACTAACCCAAAAGGATTCTTTCAGGTAAACCAAATTAAGATCAGGGACAAAGATAGGCCCACGTCAAAGTTTCCCTCGGGTCAGCTCACTGACATTGATAAGGAAATGTGTAGAAATTTTAACAAATACATCTCTCATTTTTAACACAGGGAGGAACCGAGCGATATTCCAGTAATGATAAATTATGTAAGAACAGACGATAATAAACTGTTGCACTATTAGGTCACAAGTGACATGGTCCTTAAGGCAAATAATAAATTAAAACCTAACAAATCCCCAGGCCCTGATGAACTGTATGCAAGGGTTCTAATGGAATGTAAAGAGAGCTTAGCACATACCTTTGGCTAATCTTTTCAACATATCACTACAAACTGGCATGGTGTCAGATAAGTGGAAAATGGCAAAATGTAATACCTATTTTCAAAACAGTGACAGGTCCTAAGCTTCGAACTATAGACCAATAAGCCGGACCTCCATAGTGGGAAAATTTATGGAATCAAGAATGGGGCCGAAGGCATTTCGTAGCCACCTTGAAAAGCATAAATTAAATCAACGAATCTTCAGCATGGTTTTTTACAAAGGGGCGTTCCTGTCTTATACGAATTTATTAAAACTTTTATCACTAAGGTAATTTGAGAGGTAGATCATGGTAATGATATGATATTGTGTATATGGACTTCAGTAGCTTTTGAACAGGTGTCCCACATCAGAGACTGTAGGAAAATTAAAGCACATGGAATAGGAGGAGAAATTTTTTTCCTGGATAGAGGCATGGTTGACAAATACAGCAGAGAGTTTTGCAATAAGATGGGGAGAAATCAGAGTGGGGAAGTGTCCACGAGCGGTGTTTCCACAGGGGTCAAGGTTGGCCCCCTGCTGTTCCACAATCTACAAAAACGACATAGAATGAGGGCATAAAGAGCGACATCGGCAAGTTGCCGATGACACACCAAAATAGTCCGTCGAATTCATTCGTACGAAGACCTTCCGAGCACTCCAGGAATAATTTAATAACTGATGCAGTGTGTCGGAGAAGTGGCAGATTGCAGTTTAATATCGACAAATGCAAAGTTCTAAATTGGACAGACAATAACCTATGCCCACATATAAACTAATAATGTAGATCTTAATATTAAACGGATTGCGAAAAAGATTTAGGATTCTGGTTATCTTAATCTGAAACCAAGACCAAACAGTGCATAAGTGTTCGCAATAAAGCTAATAGAATCCCCTTGCTTATATCAAAAGCCATAAAAAATAGTGTCCACAGGTTGTTCTTCAACTCTATACCATCCTTGGTAGGAGGCCTCATTTAGATTTATGCTGCACAGTTTTGGTCACCGTAATTACAGAATGGATATAAATTCTCTGAAAATGAACAAAGGAGATGACAAAGGTTATGATCCCATGTATCATAAACCTTCCCTATGAGGATAGACTAAGGGCCCGAAACTGCACTCTCTAGAAAGACGTAGAATTAGGGGTATATGATGAGTGCTAAAATGGAAGACAGGAATAAATAATGGGAATGTAAATATGTAGCTGAAAATATTCTAGCCTAGACCAGGACTCGCAGCAATGTTTTAAGTTGGAAAAATTCAGATATCATGAAGGATAATAGGAACAGTACTGGTTTGGTAATAGAGTTGTGGTGAGTGGTAAACAAACTCCCAAGTACCGTTCTAGAGGCTAGAACGTTTGTAGCTTTAAAAATAGGTGGATAAATACATGAGTAGATGTGGGTGGTGGTGAGTTAGACCTGATAGCTTTGTGCTACCAGGTCGGGTTTGCCGTGTTCCTCCCTTAAGTCAATGTACCTGACCTGACTAGGTTGGTTGCATTGGGCTTAGCCGGTAGGAGCTTGACCTGCCTGCATGGGCCAGGTAGGCCTTCTTCTGCATGTTCCTTCGTTCTTATGTTCTTCTTATGTAATTTACACACTGAAAATCGTGGAGGGACTGGTTCGAAATCTGCACCGAATTGCACTCCACACGAAAGGCAAAAAATTTGGGCAGAGTACCTCCAATGAAAAGCAGGGGCGCCCCCCATAAAAAAATAAAAAAAAAAAAAACGAGTACACTAAGAGAACTCTGTAAGCGTCGGTAGTTCCACTTTTATCATCATCAATCTTCTGCTGTCTTGAAAACAGAACATAAGACAGGTCCTCAAATCAATTCCTGGCTTCTGACGGCTGTGATAAGTACGTTGGACAACATACGCCAAAAGTAACCGCAACCGCCTAGTTATCAGTGCTTCCGACCAAACTGTTATTAGTGAGGCAGTGTGAAAGTGAAATGTTTAATATTTGCGCTGCATGAACAACTGAAGCACGAGTCATTGACACGCCCACTCGCGCAATTTTAATTTATTAGTACATTTTGGCTAGATTTACAAATTTAAAGTTACTAATAAATAAATACAAATATATATATATTAATAATAAATTTTATTCATTGGTAATTATAATAAGGGTTTATTTGTGGTGATGAATATAAATATGGGTTTTTGTGTGCGTGCAGGAGGAGGCCGTTGTGAGAGGAAGCGTGGTTGGAGGACCGGGCCAGGATCGGGTGCGGTATCCATCCTCCCTGGAGGACTACCTCAGTGAGAGTGTCTTCATCGACAACCTCAAGAAAAGATGACCAGCAGAACATCATCTATGTGAGTATTTTTTTGGTGTGGCACACACTAAATACACATCTATACAACGTTATGTAAGTAAGTTTATGGTGGAGGCTACACCTGCACATCCTACCTCTTAACCTCGGAAACACACTTTTATTGCAATTTCATCTGTGTGTGGTGTGTGTGTGTGTGTGTGTGTGTGTGTGTGTGTGTGTGTGTAAATCATCACGAAAATAGTTATTAATCATGCATTTCGTCTCTCCAAACGTGTGAATGATTTCGAAAAACCGTACTCCTCAATAACCCAGTCCAAATCGAAATATCGTGGAATTAAAGTACGTGAGGTTATCGCAATAAATTCCCAACAGCTATTCAACATGTAAATGCAAATTGAAATCCAGGCAGGTTGATAGAAGGTGACCCAACGGGTCATGGCATTACACATTGAATTAGCACCTAAATTACCTCAACTCTATAAGATTTCAACTAAAGGAAAGGAAACAAGAGACAGCACTGCAACTCTTCTTGAATCATGCCAGACTATAGCAAAGGCAGTCTCAGAAAACTGCCGATATGCTGTAGATGGCGCCCGACTCTTGTAACCATGTACCAGATGTCCAAATGGCTACAACAAATTGTCATAAAAGCATTATAGCAATGCAGAGCGTTAATAGTCTTTGATAGTTATCTAGACACATTATTAAAACCAACAAAATCGTCGAGCCACAACAGTGCCACAAGCAGAATTTCTAGTTAATAAGATTTAACAAACCACGAGTTAATATAGTGAGGATGCACTTCAGTATGCTGGAGTAATGATTGACGAGGTCAATGATGAAGCTGATGCATTAATTTTTAAAACCTTCTGTAAGTTAAGTGGTGTTGAACAGATTATTGCAGGTGTGGGAGATGACACGGATTCACATGGACCTTTCCCCCATCCCCTTCTAGCCATTCACCAAAATAATCTCGATGAAATAAATGGTTTGAAAACCGACAAGTTAATGATTGAGACATGCAACATATGGGAATCTTTATTAAGGAAACATTTCTCCACACGGTGGCTTCTTCAGTCTAATACGAAGTGTGTGTGTGTGTGTGTGTGTGTGTGTGTGTGTGTGTGTGTGTGTGTGTGTGTGTGTGTGTGTGTGTGTGTGTGTGTGTGTGTGTGTGTGTGTGTGTGTGTGTGTGTGTGTGTTTGTCCATCACTCTTGTGATGAACTGAACACATCGATTCCAGGCTGAGGGGTTGATTACCTCAAACTCTTCTCCTAACCCCCTCTCTTTGTATTGGACTGAAAAAGCCACTGTGTGACTAAATATTTCCTTAATAAAGATTCCCATATGTTGCATAAGTGTCTCGCTCTTCAATCTCAGTGAAGCCTGATAAAGTTCAGTGCAACAAGATTCATATTTAAAAACCTGCATGTAAATTTCAGACGCCTGTGTCATCATTTTTTTCCTCAGTCACCGGTTGTGATACAAATCAGCTCTATAACACAGGCAAGCAGGGAGCACTTCAAATCCTGAAGCATAGCCAAGACATGACAAAAAATTTTCAGTAATTCATAAGCTCCAGTGAAGATTTCACCCTTAGCGCTTTAGAAGCTTAGAAGCTCCCACAACCGATTCCTTGGACAAATATAGTTTTTACAAATGAAATGTATCTAGGATGTCTATAGGTCAAAAGTTTGACATATCTACAGTGCCACTGACATATGAAGCAGCTCGTTAGCTCTGAGCTTTTCCTTAAATGCAAAATTAGCTTGGTAATTTTGTCCCCAGTCTTAAAGGATGCCGTCATCACTGCGAAAGTTGACGAGCTGGACTATATTGTTCATCCATGTCATCAGTGTCGTGGTATTTACTGTAAACATTCATGTGTCGATTAAGAAGTTCTGAAGGATTCTGTATTAAAGTCCCTGAATGTTGTTACGAGGTTCTGCTTGTGCATTTTTTCCCCTTCCTCACCTGGTGGTATAAACAGCATCATCCATGGATAGATAATTGACACACAGGTGGGAGGCAGGAGGCGCGTGACATGGAGGTAATGGTGTTGCCACACCGGGTGTTGGCGCAGGAAGTAGGACGAGAGTTTTGTGGCTTATGCTAATGTTGACACCAGCTGAAGCGAGTGAGACATGCTGGCCCCTGCTCTCTACCTCGTACTGCCAGCTGCTGGTACCAACAGCTTTGCAGATCAGGCAGTTAACCGGAAATCTATTCATATCACTTGATAGTCTAAAAAGGAACGAAGGTGTATGGGGGAGAGATGATAGTGGTATCAGTAGCTCTGTGAAGTAGCTAGGTTGTAGACAGCACCCATTAATGGAAGTAACTACTCTGCTGTAAAGGGATAAAGATTTTTCAGCACCCACTGTTTATGTACATAAAAGTAATTACATATATATCCCAAACTGTCTTCAAGGTGGAAGTTCTTAAGTCAGTTCTGAAGTCAATTCCGGGCTGTTGATGCCTATGGGTTAGACTGCGTACGGCCAGCACCAATAGCAGGTCGTCAACCAGGATGCCTAGTTTGGGACTGGGCCGAGAGGTTAGTGGCCCTAGGAATTGTCTACAGGTAACCAGATAGCACGGAGCTGTACTGAAATTTGGTTCATGCATTTTTTCCACGTAAGATAACACGTGTGGAGGACTGGCTACACCTGTGCAACACCTGATCACGAATACTTTAATCCTTAAGATAGGGACTGAAGTAAATTGTATATTTACATTATCTCTGTATATACAACATACCAATGCAATTATTTATACGTACAAATAAGGTACTCTGCGATTAATTTATCAACTCTTATCCAATTAATTACACCTTTTGAGTTTGAGACTTTGAATCCGACGACGCTTTTTGTTTACTTGGTCACTGTTTCCTCGAGAGAAAACAACATTATCGGGTATTTTTGGTTAACTTTGCTTAATTGAAATGACGCTCATATAGTAATGTAATCTGCGCAGGGGGTAGAACAACTGAAATAAAACTAAATAGTTCATAAACACGCATATTTCATTAAGGGGAGAAGATGTCTTACAAAATGTGTTTTCCCGGCTGACTTAATCTCGTGTCAGTGGAGGATGTGCACTGTAATTATTAGTCTTCAGAGCCCCCAATACTAGGTGTTTGTGCTTTGCATCTATCATAGGAATAGCAGTTTAGGTTACTTTGTTTTGCTTTTGTTTTTTGTGCTGTCCTGAGCATTGTACGATCATTTCATTTTTAACTGTTTCCCGTTTTTAAAACTAGTATTTTTGTACTTGAGAAAGTTTGAACTTATGAGATTTGGTCTTCCCTTTTACTGTATAAATTATGTAGAGATTTATTCCCTTTCTAAATTTGGTTTTCATCTTACTGCTACGAGTCCGGGGAATATTTCTATCGACTTTGTTCCCATTTTCGCAGAGCTTTGGTTTATAAGCTTTATATTTATGTTGCTTGTCATCTAACTAGAATTTGACTTTATCATCTATTTGTTTATAGATAATGTTGTTAAACCTGTATTTAGGTTGAAATTCAATAAGTTAAGAACGCGCCCTCCTGAAGATTTACTTAGCTGTTAGTCTAGTCTATGAAGGACTGAACTTGTATCAGGTTGTGAGTAGACTTGAATGTGTACGAGGACTTCATACTCAGTACCAGATCATCGTTATTTGTGAAAAAGTTGTATGGTAAAGTTCCATAAATACTGATTTATGAAAGTGAGAAACCCCTTGGACAAAAAAAAAGTGAATGTCTGTATTTCAGCCTCAGAGACTGAGGCTTAAATATACAATTCGATTTTGTCCACGTAGTTACTCATTTTTCATAAGAGATCAGGGGTATCGTCAAATATTGTCGGTTTGGTTGATAAAAAGTTCGTCCCGTGGCCTGTCTCCAGGGATATTTTCAGTGTTTACTACGTTATTTCTTTTTTAATGTTTAGTAATTTCGTTTAAGGCAAGGTGGTGGTTGGAACAGAGTAAGAAATTTTCGAGGAAGTTTTACTTCTACTATCTTGTTTATAAAAGGCTACGAATTTGAATCTGGTGGTTTGTATAAAGGTACTGTGACTAAATACTAGCATTCATTTTTCATTGCCAGTTTGTGATGGCAGCTCAGTGTAAAATGGAGTCTTTAACATAAACTGACCCCCACGTTCTGGTCTACTCATTCAGCTACTGCTAATGAGATTGTATCCCAATATTTATTATATACTTCGTTATCGTTGTAGCTTTTAATACAGATCTCTGAAGGCTCCAAACACTTAATTTCACTCCACTTGTTAAAGGGATTTTTCTGATAATGATTGGTTTAAGATCCTGAATGTTTACATACATTTATAGTATGTCAAGTTATTGTACATATTTGCTGGCGTTAATGTATGTAACATGACAGCCACTGTGCTTTCTCCAACGTGGCTCAGATAAGAGGAGGTACAATCTTTGTATAGCTTATTCTTAGTCCTCTCACTATTGACAGTCAGGAGGGAGTGGGTGGGATTGAGGGACGAATCGTGTTTAAAGCTTATCAGTTATACCTGGATCATTAAAGGTCGTATTTCACCTGTACATAGCCTCAAGAATACTGATTCCAAAAGTAGACGCAGTGGATATACAGTGAGAGGTACACATTTAAGCGTATATACCCTGTGTGGGAGGGATGTTCACTTTCTTTTTAAAGAAAACAGATTCATCAACATAGTGCTGCTACCCAATTCTGCTCGCTACATTGCTGAAACAAAAGCTAGCTACGTTTCCCTTTGTAATGGCAGCACACAGGATAGGTTTCATGACCTAATTATGAGGGATATTACAGTACAGGTGACTAAGAAGTCAGCCACTATTTAGCCTCCTAGCGTCACATCCGGTGGGAACACAGGACAAACTTACCTACAAAGACTGCAGGAGTTTCCCGACGTCACAATCCGTGAACAACATTTATCACTGAAATTTATAAAACGCGCAGTCAAAATATAGATTAGTTTTATTTTACCTTACAGTAAATACACAAGTTATTGTTATATACGTACATTTATATACAAAAGAAAAAAACTTATTTTTATACTTAGATATGTGGACAGCCTAGCAGGGACAAAATGGGTGTATAGGTACGAGCCTGGCCCATGGCCGGCCTCCGATAGTAGTAACTCTCTCGAAACTCATCAACGGTATTGGAAAGTGATAGTTAACTGACGCAAATCCTGTTTAGTATTGAAGTCATGGTGTATTTTGGTGTATGTGTTGCTACATAACCTTGACGTGGTACTCGGCCCTTTCTAACAGGGCAGTGGGGTAACTTTTCATAACAGGGCTAGACGCTGAATCAATCCGTTCACGACCTACTTGCATTCCTGACTAATGCATCCTGGTAAAACACACAATTCTGATGCATATCGGTTAACTTATTACTGAGTGATCCACTGTTACATATTTCTGATCAATCACTTGGCCTAAAATTAGGCATTTCGTTGGGTTACGTGACTTGCCGTTAATTAACTTAAATTGGCCCAGTTTATTCGCTTGAAGCATAAATAACTACATAATAGGAAGGAAGGTAGCGGTGGCAGGGTAAACGCATCCGCTTCACTGTGTAAGCTAATTCGTTGAGAATCAAACGCTAGTTTGATTCTCAACGAATCATTTTGATCCACGCAAGACTCCGCACACTATATAATTAATTTAATTGAAACATTACAAATGACAGGTTTAAATATTCACATCACTGCATATAATTAATATATATAAATAACTAGTCATAATTCATAGAACAATATAATATTTAAATAAAATTCACTGAACTGCATTTTAAGTGAAACATTGCTCGAGATCAACAATATTTCATGTGAACATAATGCTGTCAGAGATTACTTGCAAAATTTAATTTGTAAATATTGTCTTCCTCGTAAAATACTTTAGAGATAAATGAAAACACGTAGGTTAAATTTGTGATGAGCAAAGTTGTGTACTTGTGTTATTGTTGAAGTATGTGGTCATAAGCCTTGTTGACTAATGCGCTATATCAATGATTACATTTGTTAGCCTATTATATATTACTATAGTATTTTGTTTAAGGATTGCACATAAAATGCCAGATCATGTACCAATATAATGGACTAATTCGTATTATCCACCTTGTATATATTTTACGTCATTAGGAAATGTATTTGCCGGGTTGCATTTCCAGTTGATAGGAATTAACACCCCTCACCTTATCCCCCACCTTATCTGCACGGAGTTGCTGAACACCACAAATGAGGTAGTTGAAGTTCTATCAATAAAGATCGAGAACCAAAACCTAGTCATTGTGGTTGTATACAAGCCACCAGATGCAACCTCACAACAGTTCAAGGAACAGCTACTGAAAATCGATTACTGTTTGGAAAACCTTCCAGCTCCATCCCCAAACATCTTACTGCTTGGTGATTTCAACCTAAGGCATACAAAATGGAAGAATGTAGCAAATAATGTTATAGCTGAAACAATCCCCGGAGGTAGCGCAGATGAAAGGTCACACACACATGAGCTACTAAGTCTCTGCGAAAAACACACCTTAAGCCAGTAGATAGTGGAGCCAACAAGACTAGAAAACACACTTGACCTTATCTTCACAAATAATGAGGACCTGATAAGAGACATAAGAATATCAAAAACAACTAATTCCGATCACAATCTAATCGAAGTCCAGACGTACATGCATAGGGGTCCTGAACAGCGGAATGCATGTACCTGTGAAGGTGTCTTCACAAAATACAATTTCAACAACGAGAACATCAACTGGGACCAGGTAAACCATGTCCTAAACGAAACATGTTGGGAAGATGTCTTAAATGACATGGATCCAAACCAGTGCCTTGAAAGGATCAACTTCCTGGTAGCCGAAGCATGTTCTAGGCATATTCCCCTAAGAAAGAAGAAGAGCAGGAGTAAACTGGAGAGAAAAAGACGCTCCCTCTACAGAAGACGACGAAGAGTCACTGAGCTCCTCAGGAGTGCTAGAATATCTGATACACGAAAGGAGGCGCTGACCAGGGAAGTGGAAACTATCGAACTTAAGCTAAATGACACTTACAGGAACCAGGAGAGGCAGGAGGAGCTTAAAGCTATTAGTGAAATTGAAAGAAATTCAAAATATTTCTTTTCATATGCCAAAAACAAGGCAAATACCACATCTAGTATCGGGCCCTTACTCAGACAGGATGGGACTTACACAGATGACAACAAGGAAATGAGTGAAATATTGAAATCCCAGTACGACTCTGTGTTTAGTGAACCACTAATCGGTCCGAGGATCGACGACCCAAATGATTTCTTCATGAATGAGCCTCAAAACTCCATAAATGTATGCCAGATTTCCGACATTACCCTAACTCCGATAGATTTCGAAAAAGCCATTGACAACATGCCTATGCACTCAGCCCCAGGCCCAGACTCGTGGAACTGTTTTCATTAAGAACTGCAAGAAACCCCTCTCGCGTGCCCTAAGTACACTATGGAGGAGGAGCTTGGACATGGGTGAAATTCCACAGTCACTTAAAACAACGGATATAGCCCCCACTCCATAAAGGTGGCAGCAAAGCATTAGCTAAGAACTATAGACCAATAGCTCTGACGTCCCACATCATAAAAATCTTTGAAAGAGTGCTAAGAAGCAGGATTGCAAATCACCTGGCTTCCCAAAATCTGCACAATCCAGGGCAACATGGGTTCAGGGCAGTCGCTCCTGCCTCTCACAACTACTGGATCACTATGACATGGCCTTGGATGCACTGGAAGAAAATCAGAATGCAGATGTAATATACACAGACTTTGCAAAAGCATTTGACAAATGCGATCATGGCGTAATAGCCCATAAAATACGTGCTAAAGGAATAACTGGGAAAGTGGGGAGATGGATCTTCAACTTCCTAACAAATCGAACACAGAGTAGTGGTCAACAGAGTTAAATCGGAGGCTGCCATAGTGAAGAGCTCTGTTCCACAAGGCACAGTACTCGCCCCCATCTTATTCCTTATCCTCATATCAGACATAAACAGAGATATACACCACAGCACCGTATCATTCAAGTCATTCATCATTCAAGAGAGCTGGACAGATACCTAAAGTCAGTGCCGGATCAGCCGGGCTGTGGCTCGTACGTTGGACTGCGTGCGGCCAGCAGTAACAGCCTAGTTGATCAGGCCCTGATCCATCGGGAGGCCTGGTCATGGACCGGGCCGCGGGGGCGTTGATCCCCGGAATAACCTCCAGGTAACCCCACCCGAAGCTTGGGCACCTTACAATAGTGGTGGAATTTGAGCTGCCACTGCTTAACCCAGTAACCAGTATTTCGGCATACATAATATGGAGATTACCCCTTTCGTCAAAATTCGCTGTCGCTGCCTTGGAACAACTTTGATGTGGTTTGGAATGTGACTAAATGTATTTAGAATTGTTTTAATTAGTGTCATGATACCTGTAAGGACAAAAAATTAGCCATGATAGCACATTTATATTGATATTAGATTAAGATGAAAACTGGCAATAAGTAGTTTTTCTTAGTCATGGGAAACCTTGTTAGGACTGGATATTAATTATGCCGAGACTTGCTACTGCTATATACCTGGAGAGGGTTTCGGGGGTCAACGCCCCCGCGGCCCGGTCTGAGACCAGGCCTCGTGTTCTAAGGATTTGTGAAACATGATTTGCTTCTAAGATGTTAGCTGTATCATACATGCTCTCGTTTCCTTTCGCAGACCTACATCGGGCAGGTGGTGATCTCAGTCAATCCCTACACAGACCTGGGCCTCTACACAGAGGACTGCCTCGAGAAGTACAGGAATGTCAATTTTTACGAAGTGCCACCCCATGTGTAAGTATTTTCGCTTTCCCAGTTTTCTTGTTTCGCTTTTGACTGTGAACTCCAATTAATGTTTGTTAGGCAAGCGACACTCCATACTTTTTTTCCCCTTTTAGTAAGGGGTAACATACCTTAGGGCTTGAAATGAACTGAAGGATTGTAGTTCTTAGCCTGTGAATTCAACGGTGTAATAAAAATAGTTAAAGGCTTTTCAACGGCCTGTAAAATAAAATAGATAGAATTTCCTAGAAACTAATAAGTGTAGAGGGAACGTGAATTTATTTAAATTGCTCTGAAAAACTGGTCTTTTTTTTTTTTTTTTTTTTTTTTTTTTTTTTTTTTAACTAGGACTGGCCCGAGTCCAGGCCTCGGGGATGGCTTAGGGGGGGGGGGGGAGCGATGATTCTTAGAACCAAGAAGAGGCACGTAATCTCCATACCCTTCCACTGCCAGCACCACCCATTTCAGTTTTGATTTAATTTGATATTTTGTCTTTTTCGGTCTGGTCACTTTTGGTGTGCTTGGCGCTAAACAGTAAATTTAACCTTTGAGATAGTCTTAAAAATCTTAACTATGGAATCCCAGCCTGTGATCAGGCTTTTTCTGGTGACTACCTGATCACCAGGCTGCTCATTTCTGCAGCCTGCCAGCAAACGGCTATCACAACTTAATTGGTAAAGCACTTCCTGTAGGAGCTTGCCTAGCTTCCTTTTGGAAAGACTGTTCTCATTTGCGAGTGAGAAATTGACTTGGGATAACCTGTTTTCCAATTGTGATTGTGGCTCCATTAACGAATATAACCCGAAGTGTAAAAGTGAACAGAGTGAAATAAGATGGATAACACTTCAATTGTCTCAGTGAGGTGCTCGTAGAAGTTTAATTGATGTATTGGACTTCAGCGAGTAATAAATTGTATGTTTATTTTCTCGCTTGAATACATCGACTGCCTTGAAAGAAGGCAAGAGCACATAATAGTTTCCCGAGTGAGAGATCACAAGTGCCATGAAGGGCCACCATCTTTGGTATGGCATATCTGGTTAAGATAGCTCTCATAATTCACTCATTTTCTTTCTCGCTTCAGCTGTACTTGTCAAGTACATAACATTCCTAGATTTTGGTACTCTGTTCCTGCATCTCATTAATGTTAAACCACTTCGCTCCTGAACATCCTATACGTATTTCAGTTTCTTGTGTCCTTTCATATCGAAGCTTTCTGTTGGGATTGCAGTTTTTTTCCCCAGTCATCTACGGAGGGTGTTTAGTGCTTTGGGATCGTCCGCAAGTGACACGAGGCTGTTTTGTTTTTGTCGGTACTGCTTGTTGGAGAATCGAAGCGCAAGTGATAAAGGTCGGCACAGTATTTATTTGTTGTGTGGTTGAGAAATAGATGAGCAAGGACAGTGCCTTACGAAACTGAACTTTTTGCTGTGCTCCACTTTTTTTTTTTTTTTCTACCGTCATTATCCACTTGTCTGCTTAACCTGTTGAACCTGTTAACCTCGTTTTGTGAGACTCCCTGGTTAATTTTTTTTAAATATCAGTGCGAAGTTGTCGCAAACATCTGCATTTAGATTTCTTATACTTGATGGTGGTTAAGGTTCGTCAGGAAACAGGACAAATGTTTCCTGACGCGGGTCTTAGTCAGATGATGACCCGCCTTTGGAGCTTTTGGTCATCTGACCGAGGCCTTCCGCTGGCTTACCGGTCCACCCCTTTAAAAATCATGGTCATTTATAACTTTTTTTTTTTTTTTTTTTTTGAAAGCCACGTTGAGGATAGTGTGGAGGAGAATGGCCCAGATTCCTGGAGTGGTACTTGGTTTTGGGAAGCTTGGGTTACCATGTAAACAGTGAGGTACAGCAGGTTGTGACCCATTGAGAGAGTTGTGAGTCTCCATTGTTGCCTGTTGTGGGTGGTGGTTGCCATTCTTTTCCAACAAAATAAGTTACTCGTAATGCGACGTTTTTATATTAAAGATACGTGGCGAGAACAAAAGTTAGTTGTATTTCCTGTCATATTCCTTCACATAGGATACGTTGTATACACAAGGTAATAAAATGTCAGCCTGAGCTCGGAGACTTCAGGGCGATGGGGATATTAAGCATTCCACTGCGTTGAGTAGATAGTCAACTTAAAAGCCTTCCTTCCAAGAAGGCTCAAGCTCTTAGTACTTGGAATTTTTTTTTTTTTTTTTTTTTTTGGAATGGTCTATTCCACACTGAAAGAGGAATGTATAATGATGTGAGAGATTACGAAACTTAGATTAAAATGTGATTCACGTACGTGTGTGTTTGTTTATTCTGGGATCTGAGTGGCGAAAGTAGTGCGTATTTTGTGTGTAGAGGTTCGAATCCTGCTGTGGAATGAGAGAGAATGTTTGTAAATAATTTGGCTTGTTTGCTAATTGTTACACACAATTGGTGGATGCGAAGTGATAGTAGTGGGATTATTATTGTTTGTGACTTCTTCATACGGACGTGATGGATATTGTTAACCCCATGTGACTGGCCCCCCCACAACAGGTCTTGTACTGGTACACACGTGGTAAGGATGCACAAACGCGCATTCGGGACACTTGTAACTGAGACCAATAGAATTGTGCATAAACCTCACATACTTAAGAGATGCATGCCTTGGCTCGCGCGCGCACTTTTAAACACTAAGACAACCTTCATTAGGATTTTTTACTTAAAAGCTGTAGCTCTGTGACGAAACCGGGCTGGTGGTAGCTTTGGTGACTGCATGGTTGTTTATTATTAAAACTTGGTTACACCACTGTGCAGCTACCTACTTTTTACGATAGTTACATTGTTGGGATTAAAACTTACTGAGAGACCTCAGTTACTGTGGAAGGAAGTTTAAATGGTTTCGTTCCAGCAGAGCTGGAGTAATTATGATGGAATTATTCTTTTAGGATGGTTGTGTATGAGGGGGACGGAGAGAGGGGGCGCGCGCGCGCGCACACACAACACACACACACAACTCACACACACACACACACACACACACACACACACACACACACACACACACACACACACACAACACAACACACAGGGAGGAGGGAGAAGGGCACACAGAGAGAGAGGGGCACAAGAGAGAGAGAGGGGGGCACAGAGAGAGAGAGGGGGGCACAGAGAGGGGGGGGCACAGAGAGAGAGGGGGGGCACAGAGAGAGGGGGGGGCACAGAGAGGGGGGCACAGAGAGGGGGGGGGCACAGAGAGAGAGAGAGGGGGGCACAGAGAAGAGAGGCGGGCACAGAGAAAGAGAGAGGCACAGAGAGAGAGAGGCACAGAGAGAGAGAGGCACAGAGAGAGAGAGGCACAGAGAGAGGGGGCACACAGAGAGAGAGAGAGAGGGAGGGGGCACAGAGAGAGAGAGGCACAGAGAGAGAGGGGGGCAGAGAGAGGGGCACAGAGAGAGAGGCACAGAGAGAGAGAGAGAGGCACAGAGAGAGAGAGGCACAGAGAGAGAGAGGCACAGAGAGAGGGGAGAGAGGCACAGAGAGACAGAGAGAGAGAGAGAGAGGCACAGTGAGAGAGAGGCACAGAGAGAGAGAGGAGGCACAGAGAGAGAGAGGCACAGAGAGAGAGAGAGGCACAGAGAGAGAGAGAGGCACAGAGAGAGAGGCACAGACAGAGAGAGAGAGAGAGAGAGGCACAGAGAGAGAGAGGCACAGAGAGAGAGAGGCACAGAGAGAGAGAGGCACCAGAGAGAGAGAGAGGCACAGAGAGAGAGGCACAGAGAGAGAGAGGGGCACACAGAGAGAGAGAGGCACACAGAGAGGGGCACAGAGAGAGAGAGAGAGAGGCACAAGAGAGGGGGGCACAGAGAGAGAGAGAGAGAGGCACAGAGAGAGAGAGGGCCACACAGAGAGAGAGGGGGGCACAGAGGGAGAGAGGGGGGGCACACAGAGAGGGGGGTACAGAGAGAGAGAGAGAGGGGCACAGAGAGAGAGGAGAGAGAGAGAGAGAGAGAGAGAGAGAGAGGGGGGCACAGAGAGAGAGAGAGAGAGAGGGGGCAAAAGAGAGAGAGAAGAGAGAGGAGAGAGGGGCACAGAGAGAGAGAGGGGAGAGAGAGGGGCACAGAGAGAGAGAGAGAGAGAGAGAGAGAGAGAGAGGAAACACAGAGAGAGAGAGAGGGGGGCCACAGAGAGAGAGAGAGGGGGGCACAGAGAGAGAGGGGGGGCACAGAGAGAGGCAGAGAGAGGAGAGAGGAGAGAGAGAGAGAGAGGGAGGGACAGAGAGAGGGAGGGACAGAGAGAGGGAGGGACAGAGGAGGGGAGGGACAGAGAGAGGGAGGGACAGAGAGAGGAGGGACAGAGAGAGGGAGGGACAGAGAGAGGGAGGGACAGAGAGAGGGAGGGACAGAGAGGGGGAGGGACAGAGAGAGGGAGGGACAGAGAGAGGGAGGGAGGGGGACAGAGAGAGAGGGGGGAGGGAGGGGGGACAGGAGAGAGAGGGGGACAGGGGGAGGGAGGGGGGACAGAGAGGGAGGGAGGGAGGGGGACAGAGAGGGAGGGAGGAGGGGGACAGAGAGGGAGGGAGGGAGGGGGACAGAGAGACAAATGAGGAAACGCATTATGTCGACCAGATAGTCAGTTGATCAAATGAAAATGCTGGCCCACAGATGGCTCTAACTTCATCCTGTTCCCTACTTGTACGTCTCATAACAATAAAAATGCTTTCAAACGAGCTGATGTAGGTAACAGCTACACAAATAACCCGCACATAAAAGAGAGAAGCTTACGACGACGTTTCGGTCCCACTTGGACCATTGACAAAGTCACACTAACAGAGGTGGAACAGGACGGCTATATATAGGCAGGAAGAGGTGGAGGTAGTAGTAGTGGTAGTAGTAGTAGTAGTAGTAGTACAAGAATTGTATATAATACCGACAGGATGAAATGACACATGCACACACCCGGGCATCCCCACCGTAGACGTTTCGCCATCCAGCCAGCCACTGGATGGCGAAACGTCCACAACAAAGACAACCAGACGCCGCACATGTGTCTAATTTCATCAGTAGATGAGGTAGAAGAAGAAGAGGTTAAATAGTAGTGGTAGTGGTAGATTGGGGGAAAAAAGGAAGACGAGCCAGTCAAATACAAAGGAAGGGGAGCACTGCAAGAGAGCTAGAAACCACAGAGGGAGAGCAAGCGCACCGAGGTGCGTGAAAGGGGAAGTGGTTTAAATAAAATAAAGAAGGAACAGAAACACGAGACAGGAGAGAGAAAGACAACCCAGAGGAGAAAAAGGAGAGAGGAAAGGGGAAGAGGAAGAAGAAAAAGAAGAAGAAGAGAAGAAAAATGAGGATTCAGGTTGTCACGGGTGTTCTGAAGTTTGGAGCATTTTACAATGTAGTGGGAGAGGAAGGCATCTACAGAGACGAAGCCAGGGCTAAGGTTCATACAAGGAAAGTTTGTGTATAAGAGATGGATTCAACTAAACGGCGACTGTTCGAGTTGGAAGTAGGGAAGACAGTTTTAGCAGAAGACCAGTCAATAGGATGGCTATGATCTCTGACGTGACAGAAAAGAGCATTGTTAGTGTCGGCAAGCCTAACACTATTTTTGTGCTCCCTAAGTCTGTCAGAAAGAGATCGACCAGTTCTCTCCAAAGTATTGAAGAGGACAGGAGGAGCAAGAAATAGAGTAGACACCAGGAACATCTGTAGAGGGAGGAGAGGTATGAACGAGATTAGTGCGAAGAGTGTTAGTCTGGCGGAAGGTAAGCTTGATGTCTAAGGGACGGAGAGAATTGTTGAGATTAGAAAGACCGGAAAAGTAGGGAAGGCAGAGGATAGAAGAGTTCCCATGAGTAGAGAGTTTGGGAGAGAAGAAATTGCGTTTAGCACGTGAGAGGGCAGAGTCTATGAAATGGGAAGGGTAGCCAAGACGGGAGAACGAATTATAAAGAGTGGAAATTTCTGCTGGAAGGAACTGAGGATCACAGATGCGGAGGGCACGGAGAAAGAGGGAGATAAGAACACTTTTCTTGACAGGGGAAGCATGATAGGAAAAGTAGTGAATGTACATGCCACTGTGCATAGGTTTACGGTAAACGGAAAAGGAAAGACCTGTATCTGAGCGGTGGACATGGACATCAAGGAAAGGAAGCAAGGAATTAGATTCCCATTCAGCTTTAAACTTAATGGAAGGGGCAAGATTGTTAAGAGCTTCAGAAAAGGTTGGAAGAGACTGGAGTCATGAGGCCACAGAGCAAAGATGTCATCCACATAGCGGAGCCAGAGTGAAGGTTGCACATCGAGGGAAGGAAGAAGAACAGTCTCGAAGTATTCCATGTAAAGATTAGCAAGGACAGGAGAGAGAGGAGAGCCCATAGCGACACCGAAGGTTTGGGAATAATATTTCCCTTGGAAGGAAAAGGAGTTAGAGTCCACACAGAGGCGGATCAGATCAAGAAAGACATCAGTGGGGATAGGGAGATGAAGAAACCTTCATGGGCTTCTCTCTAGGAAATCAAGGACATCATCAAGAGGGACATTGGTGAAGAGGGACTCAACGTCAAGACTAAGCATCTTACAGGTTGGGAGAGAGCGAAAACCCGTTCAATGAAGTCTTGAGAGTGACGGAGGTGGGCAGGAGAAAAAAGTACCAAGAAAGGGAAGTGAGGGTTTTGGCCAGCCAAGAAGCAAGAGAATAAGAGACAGAACCTCTAGAGGATATGATAGGACGAAAAGGAATATCAGGTTTATGAGTTTTGGGAAGGCCATAGAAATAGGGAAGAGAGGGACAGATGACACGAAACCGGGTTTTAACAAGGTCAAAGTCAGGAGGACAGAGGTCGGAGGAGTCCTTAGTTTTTTGTTGAAAGTTCTCTTGATGCGATCAAGAGGGTTGGAAACGAGAGGAGTGTAGGTGCGTGAGTCAGAGAGCAAGACATCAGCTTTTACGGAGGTAATCCTCGCGATCAAGGATAACTACCGAATTACTTTGTCAGAAGATAGTACGACAATGTTAGTGTTAGATTTAAGAGAAGAAAGGGCAAGTTGGTACGGCGTGGAAGGTGGTGATTCTTGGAAAACAGACTAACAAGAGCAGGAAGGAGAGCACCACGAAAAGTGGACAAGTCAGGAAGATTACGGAAAGCGAGATTGACGAAAGGAATCAAAAGAGCTAATCAGGGAAATACCAGCGCGAGGAGTAGGCGAAGTGGCAAAGGAAAGACCAAAACCAAGAAGTTCAAGCTCATATTGAGAGAGTGAGACAGAAGACAGATTAGTAACACAGTCAGTGTATCGTTCCAGTCACGGTATTGTGCCTTTTTGTTATTTAGGTAACAGCTTTTAGCTTGCCAATAAAGTTAGGAATCCTTAACCTGTAAATAGCTTGTCAATAAAGCTAGGGATCCTTAACCTTCTCAAACCCTGTGTATAAAAAAAAGAGGGGGCGGCGGCGGCTGTGTGTGTGTGTGTGTGTGTGTGTGTGCGCGCGTGCGTGCGTGCGTGTGTGTGCGTGTGTGCGTGTGTGTGTGTGCGGTGTGTGCGTGTGTGGTGCGTGTGTGCGGTGTGTGCGTGTGTGTGCGTGTGTGTGCGTGTGTGTGCGTGTGTGTCGTGTGTGTTTCGTGTGTGTGCGTGTGTGTGCGTGGGGGTGCGCGTGTGTGTGCGCGTGTGTGCGCGTGTGTGCGCGTGTGTGCCGCGTGTGTTGTTTTTGGGGTGTGTGTGGGTGGGTGTGTGGTGTTTGTGTGTGTGTGTGCGTGCGTGCGCGCGTGCGTGTGTGCGTGCGCGCGCGCGCCCACACCACCCACACACACCACACAACCACCACCACACACACAAAACACACACAACACACACCCAACAACCCCCACACCACACACAACACACAAAAAAAAAAAAAAAAAAACACAAAACACACACAAAAACACACAAAAAACACCACACAAGGGGGGAAGAAGGAAGGGTTGGTTTACACAATTTACTAAAAAACTTCGTCTGCCCCTCTCTCCAAATTATATTTCCCCCCCTCATCCCTCACATTCTTGTGAATTCCCCCGAGGTACCTGTCGACCCTCGGTGAATTTTTAGGTTCTTTTCTTACATGTCCCGGTTGATTGATTTTAAACTACGGGGGTTTTTTTTGCACTTTTTTGCTAAAAAGACTTTTAATTTTGAAATTGTAGTACGGTTGTTAGTTTTGGGTTTTTAGCTTTGAATGGTTTTTTTTTTGGGTTTTTGTTTGCGGTGTCCCAGCTTTCTGCCCCGTCTCGCCTCGAGGGGGGACTCTTGAATCTGGAAGACCCATCTCCTCGAATCAAACGTGATTGCCTAATTCCCCAGACGGATTTAGCGCCTCCCAAGATGCACTCCTACCATCCCTGTGGGAGGTTTCGAGAGAGGTAACCTGGGGGTAGCCGGCAGGTGGAACCGGGGATAAAATTGACCTGGGGTGGCTCAAAAAGGCAAGAGTCCTGAAAACTTTAAGGGCCTTGCACAACGGGGAGTGGGGTGAGGGGACCATAATACGACTTCCCCTTCCCTTTTTAAGATTCGCCATCACCGAGAAGTATAGGTCTATGGGGGCAGGGACCCCAGACCCCTGCATCCTATTCGGTTTGTGATTACTCGAAGATGCCTGAGGTTAGTGTAGCTTCATTTTCCCTGTGCACCATCTCAGTCAGTGAAGGTGCCCGGGCGCTCATGAACCAAGTTCCAACCCGGTCCCGTCTTTTTGCCCCTGCGCAGCACAGTCCTCCCTTTACTTGGCCTTGATTCCCCCGCACGTCAACAAAAAAATTTTTTAAACTATTTTAGACTAATAATTTTCCCTTTAAATTTTAAAAGAGCAGCATGCGCGGCTGCCCTATTTTATATGGTTCCATTGTTTTCCCACCCGTTCCTCAGTTAGAAAAAGGTTTTTATTGTGGGATGGAAGGTTTGTCTACCTAACGTAGGCCCCTGTAAACCCTACGGTTTAAGGTGCCTACTACAGGGGGAAAAAAACTGGGAACGTACTTGGAACACTGCAAGAAGGAAAAGTTTTGAGAAAAAATATTGGGGGGGAAACCCGAAGGGGAAAAAAAAGGGGGGGGGGGCAGATTGGAAAAAAAAAATAGGTAGGGAAAAAGCAAGGGTTGACCCTCAACGTGTTCCTTCTTTAACGCACCGTGGTGTGTATAAAAAGCAACAGTTATTCTTTTAAAAAAATGGAAGGGGAAAAAGACACTCGCCAACCATTTAGCTGGGGTTTTTGCCTCGGGTAGCTTTATCAACCAGGCTGTGTAGGGTTGCAGCATTTAGTTGCCCACCACAAATAAGCAAAACATTTATATTCTTAGTTGTAATAGTGTGCCCTATTTTTTCAGTAACTTAAGATGGAGTGAGTGTAGTCTGAATATTGGTAAATATATTTGCTGAGCGGCAGCAACTAGGCTCTGCCATTAGCAGCCACAGCCTGGTTGATCAGGCAGTTGACATGGAAGCTTGGTCTCAGACTTGGCTGGGAAGGTACAAGTCCTTCAAAATGGTCACATGCATGTCACTGGCAGTGGGAAGTGAGAACTGGAGATTGCCAAGTAAAGATCTACATAGTAATGTGCCTGAGAACCGCCTCTACAGGGCGACCTTCACTCACTGGAAGATCGTGTAATTACTAAGGTTGAAACAAAAACTTACGCTGAATGTGAAGGATGTAACATTTTCAGTCAGTGCTTCCTCTTATTTCTGATATTGAATGCAAATCTTAAGGGACTTAAGGTCATTTGTTCTCTGGCGGGGAATAATTAATGCATATTTTATGACATTTATTTTTCACGGGTGGGTCTTGAAGCCAGAAGGTTATATTGGGAATTCCAGCGTCAGAAGACATATTTCTGTGATCAGTTTTAGGAGAAACGCTGGATGGTTAAGGTTCTTAAACTCGGCATTAGCTACATTGTGATAACTAAACCATACCACGGGGGGGGGGGGGGGTTGAACCCGCGGTATGGTTTGTTTGCGATCGTGTCATTGCGATTTCGTGAGTCTTGTGATAACTATGTAGGTCTGCGGCCGCTAGCAACAGCAGTAACCAGGCTGATCAAAAACGAGGAAGTCTGAGCTAATCGAAACAGGTCAGCACAGCGCTTTTCTCTGTGATAGGTGAATTTGAGGGCGACACAGGGCTGGTTTAATTCGACTGTTAGTGAGAGAAAGACTAGTTACTAATGAGGATTTTTTAATGTGTAGGTGTAGCGTGAACCATTGTTCATTTCCACCCCAGCCAGTATTTACGAGGAGAAAGTTCGCATAGCCGTGAATGCACAATTTTTTTTATGTGCAAAGCACGAATGAAATGTCTGGTAGTATAAACAGAGGAGAAAGTGATGGGTAGTGTGTAAACTAGAGAAAGAGTAGATGATACTTTAACTCACTCAATGGCATCATGGTCAAACTTAGGTTTTGGTCTTCCATATTACAAGGACATACAACAGTGTCGCCACACTGGAATGTATCGCTGAATATGTACTCTCATCTGGACATATTGTTGGGTACTAGTAAATGCACACTCTTAGCGTAAGTGCTTGGCGGGTTACTTTGCACCAGTGAAGTTTCCGGATGGGTTCTCGGTACTTTTTACACTTCCTCGATAATACAACAAGGGTTATTTGGTCGACTTTATTCATGAAGTAAATGAGAGAGACTTGCAACACTTGAGTATCTATATTGTGGAGACGTTAAGTCAACTAGTGGCTTTATACAGACAGTGGGAGACTTGTAGTAGTAGTTGTGCTACCGCTCCTGATATCGGTTAAGTACGAGGGGAGATAACTGGTATCTCAAGCGACCACTACCCGTTTCTCTGGCGACCATGAAGAAAGTACGTGGGGGTCACCTGACCTTTGTGCTAATTATCTTAATGTTTCTAATTGACATGACATTGATTGTTAACCTAAACTAATTAGGGGTTGCAGTGCTGACCCGACCTCATCAGTCTGAGTGTGCTAATATTTACTTAATAGACATTAATATTTGATTAAATGTTTGATGATTACAGCCTTAAGAATTACCTTGGTTTGGTATTCTAATTGCTACCTTGAGCATGGGTGCCGCCAGAGTGAATACTGTCTTGAGCATTATCGCATTGGATATCTTATGGGTAAAAGTATTTCCTCAAGTTACCGCCAAAACAGTGGCATGGCTGATGTCTTACAAGGCGGGGCCAGGAGCTGTGAATTTACTTCTGCAAACGCAACCAGCTACATGCAACTAGCCAAGGAGGTTGTGCATATGTACTCGCTTATATGTGCCCGGTTGATAGGCCCTCCACTGAGAGTCCAGGCCTGGGGGCCACGGGGGCGTTGATCTTCGGAGCACTCCAAGTAGCTGTTTCCCGAGTCTGGTCCCTCTGGTCCTTTCCCAATCTTCATAACTTTGCGTTATCTAGAGTTAAATTCAAGCAACCACTTTGTGCATGTTCGATTGTGTTCATGTTTGTGCTCTCTTAATTGTGCTTGCAGGGGTCAGTTTATAGCTCCTGATCCCGCCTTTTAACTCTGTCGACTGGCCCAACTCATTCCTGGCCTCTAGAGCCTTACTGTATACACATATGAAGCTGTGTAATAGCGTTTGCTGCCACCCCTGCATGTAAGCATGTTCATGCCCATGTTCTTGACCTAGCGTGCGTTTCTCCTCCACATTAATTGTTTTCAGAACACGAGGGAAGTCAATTATTTACAGTTGGATTCTTGTGTATTAATCTGTTCTGTGTTTTGTATCACCTTGTATTTGCATTGCTTTAAATAAAATATATAAAAAAATTATTTACAGTATTGAAATATCATGTAGTGGTTATCTATGAGAGCTGGTAAATTGTTCTGAGTAACGCTTGAGATAAGCCCCCCCCTTCTGGTATATTTATATTTGTATTAGGAAATTGGTACACGTTCATTGTGCGATGAATCTACAATATTTCCCAACGAGTTTATATGCAGTTTTAAGGTATAAAGGATTAAACATAAAGACATGAACCGGGCCGCGGGGGCGTTGATCCCCGGAATAACCTCCAGGTAACCTCCAGATGAGACAGAGTTTCGGTCCTTTCTGTACCTTTGTTAATTGTTCACACCGAATCATAATTATGCCACGATCCTGACGTTTGAAATATTAAGGTTGTTTAAACAGAGCCACGAGACATTGGGAAACTAATAAGATCTGGGAGTGTATAATGGCTTCCTTATGATGGTAACTTAATGCACGCGATGCAAGTGGTCTCACAAGGGAATGCATCAGTGTGGGTGGAGAGGCTAGCCTGTACCCGGTGCCCTGTATATCTGCAGCTTATCAACCAGAGCAGTGCAAATTATCCTCATTACTTCGTCTGTCTTACTGTTTAATCGAGTTTGCTCTTAGCATGTCGTCCACATGCAGTTAACGTCAGTTATAATTGATTAGCTAGACTGGCTATCTGAGATGCTAGGCTCAGAACATTCTCTTTGGCGATGGTTGTTTACTTCCCTGCGTAGAATAAAATCTGAAATTGAAGCCCAGTTAACCTAGCTACCAGCTGTACATAATAACTATAATATAGTTTCTGTTGCATCAGTTTTACTCTCTTGAATCAAGTTTAATCACTATAACCATTATAAGTGGACCAAAAAATCTGTCTTGTAAAATATCTGTATATTATGATTATTAATACGAGTTGGTAAGAATGTAATTCCCAGTAATTGTATCGGATGTTCTGGTAATTCAGTGTCGGATGTTCTAGATCTGATATAACAAGACCATTTCACAGTTGCACTTATTTAGACCCTGGAGATGTATATTTTGTTTTCTAAGAAAACTTACGAATATTTGTATAATTTTATTAGGTATGAACTGATGTATAAGCATATTTTGATATGCTGGTGGAGACGGAAAGGTCAACAGGAGCAGATTTGTATACTTGTGGAGGCAAACTAGTATCTGGCATACCTTGTTGCTTGTGAGGCCTGTCAAGGGTCACATAATTGCCAGGTCACCGCGAGCCTCCAGCTTAAGGCCACACCAACACTTGTAGGAGTGATCATGCTACTTTTGTTATTCATACGAGATAATTTAAACATGATGGAGCGGTATTACTAGTTGGAGCAGTGAAACTTACCTAGGCAGTCAGACCTCTCCTGTCATAAGTCAGTTGAAAAAGTGACGTTTGGTTAACCTGAAGATATCCATTCCTCTCGCCCGGTAAGTTTGACACAAATTTTTAAGTAATTTTTTTTATTTTGCATAAAAGCTAACCTGGAAACCTAACTTATATATATATTTATTTATTTCGAGAGGTTTTCCATTCCCGAAGCCCGGCCCTGGGCCAGTCCAGATAAACTCCAGATAGTTAGACCACTTGGGTGCGTGCAAGTAGCACCAACCGAGGTCTGGTGCTGCTACATCTTCCCGCCCTTAACTCTTAACCACAAATAAACCATCAACACTTTTAGCGTGGTTCCATAACATTTACAAAATGGGTAAACAAAAACGCCACGTAGCATAGACATTCTTGAGAGATTCGCTATACAAGCTTTCTAAAGCAGGCTTATATTTAATGTT